CACTTACAAAAAATTCAAGCATAGCTAAAACCAATTTATGGTGCTTATGAGAATAACTTAAAATAATGATGATGATAATCTGACAACACTAAGTGTTGGCGAGGATACAGAGCAACTGGAACTCTCCTGTGTTGCTGGTAGGAATACAAAAATGGTACAGAATACACATAAATGAGCATAAATGAGTGTGTATGTGATTAGCATGATCTGAATAAGCCCCAGGCACTGCACCAATATTGATTAGCTGGCTATAGTTATGCAAGATGTTAACCCAGGGAAGGTGGGTGAAGAAGGTATACAGAACCACCCTGTATATTCCTTTGCAACTGTTTGTGACTCTATTCTATAATTATTCAAAATTAAGACTTAAAAAAGAAATACAATTACTCAAAAGATAGTGACAAGACAGGAGGCAGCACGAGGAAGCTACTGAGGCTTCATGCGGAGCTAGTTATGTGTTCAGTTTGTGAAAATTCAAGATGTAAACACTAAGATACGTGCCTTTTTCTGAGTGTACGTTATACCTGAGGAAAAAACTCTTTTTAATAGGTTATGTCCAATGTTATATTGATGACATCACTCCTACCCCACCTCCTCTTCACAAAAAAATAAGATCCAGACTTCTTAGCCCGATACTGAAGCTATGTGTGCCCACATCTTTTCCTCATCTCTCCTTCCTGTCAGTGTTCCCACAGAACACCTAGGTTCTTTCTGACCACCAAACTTGGCTCCCATGCTCCCCAATGGCCTATAACTGCACTGTCCCAAGTGGGAGCCCCAAGCCTCGCACGGCTGCTGAGCCCTGGAAACGATGGGTCTGAACACTGTGCTCAAAGTGCAAAACACCACCCCAGGTTTGGAAGATTTCATAGGAAAAACTGAGTATGAAATGGTTCGTTAGTAACTTTTCAAAAAAGTAGCCCTGGTGGTGCGACAGTTAAGCACTCGGTTGCGGCCAAAAGGTTGGCAGTTCAAAGCCGCCCAGGCTCCGCACACGAAGACCTGGCAATCAGCTCCTGCAACGCTGACAGCCTAAACTCACAGTAGACAGGAAAGGGGAGGGGGAGCAGTGAGTTCAAGTTTACAAAGGACGCACATTTCCGGCAAAGGAGAGTGAGACTAGTTGAACAACTTGAAGAACATGAAGAATATGATCGTTGTTGTTATTGTTATGTGCCGTCGAGTCAGACCCGACTCACAGCAACCCCTCCTTGCATTTCTGAGGCAGTATCACTACAGAAGTAGATTGCCCCATCTTCCTTCCGAGGAGTGGCTGGTGGGTTTGAACCGCCAACCTTCTTGTTAGCAGTCAAGTGATCAGTGTCACTTACTTATACATGTAGCAACTGCTGAACAGGTGTATGTTCTGCTGTGCATATTCTCAACAACAGAAAATAAAATACAGTAAAACGAAAAAAATATTACAGCCTGTGGGGCGGTTCTACTGCCGCATGGGTTCGCTATGAGTAGCAATCAACTCCACGGCACTTAGCAAGAAGTCAAAAGCAACTTTTTCCCAGGTCGAAATGATAATGGTTTAGACACTCTGGGTTAAAACTAAAGCTATCAGAATTCACCCACTACTTTTTACTGCTTTTCATATGGTTGCTAGAACATTCTAAGTTAAACATGTGGTTCACACAGTTACTTCAATAAGACAGCCAGGCTGGCTCCGCCATCTCGGCCGAGTCCGCAATTACCTGACTTCCGGGCACGGGCCAGTGGCCGCTGGGCCTCGGCCGCCGCGACGGACACAGGCTCTGATCCAGGGATGGTGCCGTGAGAAGCAGCTGAAGAGCGCCTCAGCGTGGGAGAGGCGGTGAGCAGCACGTTCGCAGCACGTTTACGGCGTCTGCGTGAGGGGCGTGCTTGTGAAAGCGGGGGCGCGCGATGCGGGGGCGGGGCCGGAAACGTGTGCTAGCGGGAGCGCGCGAGAGAGGCCCTGAGGCACCAAAGAGCATGCGCGCTGAGGGGGCGGAGCAGAGAGAATCCGGGAAAGGGAGGGGCCCCAGCCGCACCCCTGACTTCCGCCGCCTGCTGGTGAGAACGTTTACCACGCGCGACATACCAGGGAGGGGGAGGGGCTTTCCTTGGCTCCGCCCTCAACCCTCGTCTCTGGCCTATGGAAACTGAGCTGTGCCGCGGGGACCAGATGGAGGCGGAGACTTTTTGCCTGTTAGGCCGGGAGCGCTGCGTTCATAGCTGTCTGTTGATTCTTTGAGGCGATGCATGGCGCATGATAGCGCCTCGCACTTTGCGGAAAATGGGGTCGCTTCTACTGGCCTTAGGAGCCCTGATGGCAGTGGTTAAGCCTTGACTGCTAACCGATTTAAACCCACCAAGCCGCTCAGCGAGGGAAAGATTACAGCCGTGGAAACCCTGTGGAGCCCTTCTACTTTGTCCTAGAGGGTCGCTGAGTCGGAATCAACATCCATGGGTTTGGTTTTCGGGTTCTGCTAGCCTTGGGAAGTGGCGTGCTCGTCCAGATTCAGGTTAAGCCCTTCCTCTCAGAGGCACATTTAACTTACTGTAAATTTAGCTAAGTACACTCAAAAAAGGAGGATTTTACTGTATAGAAATTACACCTTTTTCTTAAAAAAAGGGAGATACAGGCACTTGCCTGCATTTCTATTCAGTGGGCTTATGTCGAGTCATCATGGGATGGGATGTGAACTTGGGCAAGTCCCCACCCAAGTAAGTATCTGCCACGATGTGGCCGTGAAATTCAACATGTCACTTGCTCTAACAGACATGCATTTTCCACCAAAAATAAAAAGCCATCGCCGTGGAGTCAATTCCAATTCATGGTGACCCCCTTAATCGGAACTGTTTTCTTGGCTTTAGCTTTATGGAAGTAGATCACCAGGCCTTACTTCTGTGGTGCGGTTTGGTGGGTTAGAACCTCTAACCTTAGATTAGTAGCAGGGCGCAAACCCTTTGCAGAGCTTAACTAAATAAAGCTGTGGGCTTCAGTGCTAATGGGAAAAAAGGCTGTGAAGTGATCTCTGGCCATGGAGGCTCAAGATTTTTAAAAGACCACCCTAACCACACTAAAACTCAGTACCTGTGTCGTTATGACCCCCAAGTTTCAGATAAGGAAACAAGCTCAGACACCAAGTTTCTTGCCGGAAGTCAAACTGACCATTGGTGGGGCAGACTGCGTCTAGGAACTAAACTCTTAAACCCCACACCATGAAGACATGCTCCTTTCCCTTCTACAGAAGAAGAGACTAAGTTCAAGGAGGTTACACAGAACAAAGAGGTAGTCTAAGGATCAACCAGGACCCCTGAACACCCTGTGTTCCTTCTCCATGTGTTAAGTCTATGGCTTGGTCGTACTTTCTTTTCTTGCCTATCACCAAAGAGCTGTTAGGAGTCACCCCACCACGCCAACACTCAGAATACCCAGTGATCCCACGGACTCAGACAAACCTGCTTTCTCATCCCAACACTGCATATAAGCTGGGGGGGTGATCCCACTCACTCACATCCAGACCCGGCCCAATTAGCACCTCCTACTCTAAGGAGCTCTGGTGGCAAAGTACTTAGAGCATGTGACTGCTAACCAGAAGGTTGGTGGTTCAAATCTACCAGCCACTCCCTGGAAGGAAGACTGGGCAATCTATTTCCATGAAGATTTACTGCCTTGGAAACCCAATGGGGGTTGCTATGAGTTGAAATCGACTCCACGGCAGTGAGTGACTCTACTCCAGAAGGAGTCTGGATGGCACAGCAGTTAACCGAAAGGTTGGTGGTTGAACCTCCCAGGCTCTCTACCTGAGAAAGATGTGGCTATTGGCTTCCATAAAGATTTCAGCCTTGGAACTCCTACGGGACAGTCCTACTGTCCTACTGGGTCACTAGGAGTCAGAATCCACTTGACGGCTATGTTTTTTTTTTCTTAACTCTAGCCCAGGAGTCCCAGGGTGGGCCGAACAGCTAAGCACCCAGCTACTAGCTGGAAGGCTGCAGTGTGAACGTGCTCAAAGGCACGTCAGAAGAAAAGCTTGACCATCAGCCTCTGAAAGATGACAGAAATCAAAAACCCTGCTAAGTTTAGCTCTGCTCTGACAATGGGGTCTCCAGGACTCCAAATGACTCCACAGCAACTCGTTGGGGATTTTTTCTTTTTAAGTCTAACCCACAAAACCCTCCCCAGCTCCTCAGGAGAGCAGGAGACACAGATCTAAAAAACAAAGTACAAACTTTATTTTGTTTCTTTACAAAGGCACAGTGGCCTCTTCGTCCCCCCCCCCACTTTCTTAACAAAATATAATAGCTTCTCCTTGAACACAAAGACCTCAAAATTGTAAAAAACAAAGAGAAAAAACAACAACAACAACAACAAACAAAACGAGAGAGACAGAGACATTTTTGGGGTCGGAGATGGGGAAACCTGTACGGAGAGGAGAGGGCTGGGTGGTAGTGGAGAGTGGCTAACCCTAGTGCTGAGAGGGGGCGGGGACGGGGGAGGAGGGCAGCAGCAAACCCCAAAACCGAGAAGCAACATCGACCCCCGGACCCCCAGAAAGCCCGGACCCAGCCAGACCCCCAACCCATGTTAAGTGCTTAAAGGAAAAAGAAGAAAACCAGAGGGGTGGGCGGGGGATTAAAGACGGTCACCGGGCTGGCTCTGGGGAGGGAAGAGAGCTTGGGGTTTTATTTCATTTTCCCTGTTCTTAAAAAACATGTTCAAAGGAAAAAATGTTTTTTGGCAGAGAGAGGCCAGGCACCTCAGTGTCCGCGTCCCCAGGCTCTGGGGCCGAGGCCCAGCCCCAGTGTCCCGATCTCCCCACGTGTTCCAGGCCACCCCAGCCCGTGACCTGGGGTTGGGTGGCTCCGGTCAAAGGTTGATTTACAGTATTGAGAAAGAGGTCATAAAAGAGACCCAAATGACATTGTAATTTTGTAAAAATTTCTCACTTGCTCGCTCACGTTTCTCCCTGCTGCTGCCCCGGGCCCCTCCAGCCCCCCAGAAGGGAGAGGAGGGCTGGGGGTGGTCAGGGAAGCTCCCCGTCCCCCAACGGCTCCTCCCGACTCTGGTCCATGGTGTCGCTGTCGGAGGTCTCCGAGTCGGAGGCGGTGTCCGAGGCGTGGGCCTCGGGGCCAGTACGGACAGGCTTCACAATGACCGCCTGCCGCTCCTCTTCCTGTCTCTCTTGGGTGCCCTCGATGTGCTGGATTGCCTGGGTGGGGACAGACGGTCCATGAGGCCTGGCCAGGGACGGCCCCCACCGCCACTGAACCAGACCTCCCGAGACACGTCCGCCAGTAGGCCTGGCGAGGAGGCAGGGGAGGCCAGCCAGGGTCCAGGAAACAGATTTTAGAAAACCCTTCTGTTGCGCTAAAAACTCCTTTGGGGAAGATGACAGCCTCAGCATAGCTTTGAATTGATGAGCAGTTTTAACATATTTCTGTCTGTCAACTTATTAAGAGTCATTGTTATTAATTTCATGATTCAATTTGTTGGGTTTATGTGCAACTAAAGTTCCAGGGGTTGAATGGTTTCTTTTGTCCATTTGGCCCTTGGTCTATTCATTAATGACTTTCTTTGATCTTTATTTGGTCTCCAAGGGGTCTAGCCCAAGGCCAAGCTCAGCATTACCTTTAGATGTGACCAAGAACATACTTCATCCTGCTTCTCCCTCCCCCTAGGAGGCCTAACTGACACCCTCCAGGGCCTAGGAAGACGGAGGTGAAAGAAACTCAAACTCTGTAATTCAGGCTCTGAGACCAAAGGGTCTTCTCAGCCAGAGACGTGGGGGCAGGATGAGCCCCTGAAAGTACTGCCCTGAGACCCTCTTTTAACCTGAAACCAGAATTACCCCTGAGGTCTTCTTAAAACCAAACAGTAGTCCAGCTTCACTAGTCAAGAATGTCTGCCCTGAGTACTTCGCTCTTCTAAGAACCGTCTGAAAGGAATCAAACTGACAAGGAGCACTGGTGCAGTGGTTAAGGCACTCAGCTGCCAACCCTTAGAGAGGTCTACAGTTCTAACCCAGCAGCCGCTCCAGGGAAGAAAGGTGAAGCACTCTGTTTCTGCAATGATTAACAGCCCCAGAAACTGTGAGAGCTGGACAATGAATAAGGAAGACCAAAGAAGAGTTGATGCTTTTGAGTTGTGGTGCTGGCGAAGAATGCTGAAAGTACCATGGATTGCTAAAAGAACTAACAGATCTGTCCTGGAGGAAGTGCAGCCAGAATGCTCCTTGGAAGCAAGAATGGCCAGACTTCGTCTCACCTATTTTGGTCATGTTGTAAGAAGGGACCATTCCCTGGAGAAGGATGTCATGCTTGGTAGGGTGGAGGGTCGACGAAAGAGGGAGAGGCCTTCAACGAGATGGATTGACACGGTGGCTGCGATGATGGGCTCAAGTATAGCAGGGATTGTGGGGCTGGCGCGGGATAGGGCAGTGTTTCGTTCTGCTGTGCACGGGGTCGGGTCGCTATGAGTCGGAAACGACTCGACGGTACTTAACAACAAGAAGAAACCCTACAGGGCGATTCTACGCTGTCCTCTAGGGGCGCTGTGAGTCAGAATCGACTCCATGGCAGTGGGTTTGGTTTGAGCTTTGCTTGGTAAAGATTGACAGCCTTGGAAATCCTCTGGGCAGTTCCACTCTGTCCTCTAGGGGCGCTGTGAGTCCGACTAGACTGGCAGGTAGTGGGTTTGGTTTGGGCTTTGCTTGGTTAAGACTGACAGCGTTGGAAACCCTATGGAGAGGTTGTACTCCGTCCTCTAGGAGCATGTGAGTTGGAATCGACTCCACAGCAGTGGGTTTGGTTTTGGTTTGTTGTGTATATTCTCAACCATAACATTTTTTAAAAAAGATGATAAATCTGGCACTATTAAGAAGAAAGGGTCCTCTCAGCAAACCCCATGTGGGGTGCAGGAACAGGGTCTTTAGGCCACACCATCCCATTGGCTTGGTGGCCTCCACCCCAGCTCTCTCAATGGAGTGGCCCCCCTGACAGGTGCAAGGACAGGGACTCAGTAATGAGCGCCACCCAGGCTCCTTGGGTTCTCATCACACTGAAGCCCCGCCTGGCCCCTGGGCCCAGGTACCTGCACGATGGTGTCCAGATTTTGCCGGGACGTGGAAACAGAGTTGATGACCGAGGAGGGGCCCATGGTGACGACGTTGATGTGGTGGGAAGGAGGGAGCGCTGGTGCCGGCACGATGACTGTGGGGTGGTGGGTGGGGGCCGGAGGGGGCAGGAGCTGCAACACAGAGGCTCTCAGGCTCTCCCCGAGGGGTCCCCTCGGAGCTCCTACCCCTGCCTATCTGTCAGTCATAGAAGGTGCCGGAAGAGCCCTGGGAAACCATCTACCCTGCCTACTGCCTCCCTGGGGCCTCCATCCCCAACTCACGGAGGGCTGGCCAATTTACACCCCCAGCCCCTCTGAATTTAAGAAATGAAGAAAAGGAGGGGCTTCTGGCCATCCCAGGTCATGTCACCCCTTTGCTTGGGAGTGTCTAGGGGGTGGGTCACCATTCAGCACAGTGCTGGCTGAGGGTAACTCTAGACATCGACAGCCAGGGCTCAGATGCCTGTTCCCAACCACTTACTAGCTAAGGGCCCTTGGGGTTGTTACTGAATGGGCCTGGATTTCCTCGTCTGTGAAACACAAGGCGCAATACCTCGGGCCTCGAGATAATGTACATGAAACAGGTGGGGACTGGAAACTGCTCAAGAAAAGCCTGCAGCGTGACCCCTTCAGCCTTGTGTTAGCTGGATGTTCAGAGGCACATGGGGAGTGTGAGCACCGTGAGGACAGGGGGCCTGCACTGCACCCAGCCCCCCCCCAGGTGCTGTCCACTCACCTGAGTTCTCAGGTGCTGCTGCTCCCGCTCCAGCTTCTCCTGGTGCAGCAGCCGGACCTGCTCCTGCTGCTGCTGTAGCTGCACCTGCTGTGCGATCACCTTGAGCTTCTCTGGGTACATGTGGGCCTCCAGTGAGCGCACCTGGGGCAGAGCAGCTGGCTCAGAGTCCGGTGGTGGCCACACCCGGTGCCGAGGCCCAGCCGCAGAGCCCTGCCCCAAACTCCCTCAGCCACAAAGCGGCCGTGCGCCTGCCAGAGACCCCGGCAGGGGCCAGAAACCAGAGGGGCAGCCCACGAGGCCTGCCTGCGGCGAGGCCCTCTCCTTTTCTGCCACTGTCCCAGCATGCCATGCTCCCTCCCCTCCACCTCGAGGCTTCCTGGCTGCTGTTCCCTAGACCTGGAGCCTCACCCTCCTCTCCTCCCAATCTCTGCTGAAGTCACGTGCACGGGGAGCCTTGCTGCGCCCCCTCCAGGGCCGAGTCAGAGGCTCCTAAGGAGACGCATGAAGGAACGAGCTTTAATCACAGCTGCATTTTTACGCTCCCAGAGACTATGAACTCCTAGAGGTTGGAGACCCGTCTCACGTTCTGCCTGTTGGCTATCCCACCTCTAGGCCTGACACAAAGTTGCTGCGAGCCATCAAGTTGATTCTGACTCATAACGACTCTGAGTGACAGAGCAGAACTGCCCCATAGGGTTTTCTAAGCTGTAATCTTTACAGGGGAGAAGCCCAGGTGGCGCAGTAGTGAAGTGCTTGATTGCAAACCAAAAGATCAGTGGTTCAAACCCACAGGGAGAAAGATGTGGCAGTCTGCTTCTGTAAAGACTGACAGCCTTGGAAACCCTGCATTGGCTTTCTACTCTGTCCTATAGGGTTGCTTTAAGTCAGAACCAACTTGATGGCAACAGGTTTGGTCTTCTGGGTAATCTTTGTGGGAGCAGATCGCCAGATCTGTTCTCCTGTAGAGCCGCTGAGTGAGTCTGAACAGCTAACCTTTTAGTTAGTAGCCAAGCGCTTAACCCAGTGTGCCAGAGCTCCATTAAGCGGGCACTCCTGTAACTAACTGTCCAAAAGGGCGGCAGAGGAGCAGGCTGGAGTCCTCCAGGCCAGCAGGGGGCGCCGCCTCACCTGCTCCTCCAGCATCATGCGCACCGAGCGCTCCTTGTCCAGCTGCTGCCGCAGCTCGATCATCTCCCGCCGCAGGTCCTCAGCCTTCTCGTCCTCCCAGATGTCCGGCGAGCCGATGCCCTCATCCTTGTCCTCTGCCCGCCGCCGCTTGGGGGATGAGCCACTCAGCTCCTGTAGACCCCGAGGGGCCGGTCAGTGGGACTTGACACACCGCTCCCACCACTGGGGAGGTCTAGGGGCGCTATCAGTGCCCTCAAGCTGTGAGAACATAGGTGGGCAGCAGGATGAAGGAGCCCCACTCTGCAAACCCAACACGCTGGCCAAGAGCCAGCCAGAACAGAGACCTGTGGACCTGCTTTCCACAGCGTCACCCCTGCAACTGGGTTGAATTAACCAGAGCCTGTGGAGTCAGTTCCAACTCCTGGCGGCCCCTCGTGCGCCAGAACCATGCTCCATGGGGCTCGAAGTGGCCTGATTCTCCAGAAGGAGATCACCAGGCCTTGCTTCCAAGGCACCTCTGGGTGAACTTGAACTCCCAACCTTCCGGTTAGCGGCCAAGTGCATTAGCCATGGGGACCACCCAGGGTTCCCACTTGGTGAAACAGCATCTCTCACAAATCCATCTCTACCCAAAACCTCTAAATGTGACCTGACTGGGAAATAGGGGTCTTTGCAGATAGATGTAATTAGTGACGATGAGGTCATACTAGAATAAGGTGGGCCCTAACCCACTGACTGGTAGCCTGATAAGAGAAGATGCAGAAACAGAAGAATGGATAACCACACTATGGTGCATACACACGGTGGAATACTATGCAACACTAAAGAGTAATGTAGAATCTATGAAACACACTGCATAATGTGGATGAACTTGGAGGACATTATACTGAGTGAAGTAAGTCAGTCACAGAAGGCCAAATGTTGTATAATCCACTATTGTAAAAAATCAAGGAGAGGTTTATATATGGAAGGAAATTTTCTTTGTCGGTTACCAGAGATGGGAGGGGAGAGGAGGGAAAATTACTAGACAGGCAGTGACAAGTATCGATTTGGGTGAAGAGTAAGGCAGTTTATCAAATCGAGTGACCAACACAATAACACTAAGGAAAAGGAAGACACAGAGGGGCACACGAGATACAGACCACAAAGATAAACCCTTTTACATCTACAACACTGCGTTATCAGTGATAGCAAACGTTAATCTACGGGTAAATAGATGGTTAGACAAGATGAATGATCAATTATGTGTAGGCAAAAGGGAATATAACCATGACCATATGTAAGGCCGGGAGACCATTATTTCTACATGTTATTTGTATGTGCTGTAACAATGTCCAGTAATATATCAAACAGTGTATCGGACATTAACAACCTGCAATATGCAGAGACACAACCTTGCTTGCTGAAAGTGAAGATGACTTGAAGCAATTACTGATGAAGATTAAAGACTATAGTCTGCAGCATGGATTACACCTCAACTTTAAAAAAAAAAACGAAAATCCTCACAACTGCACCAGTGAGCAGCATCACAACAAATGGAGAAAAGACTGAAGTTGTCAAGGATTTCATATTGCTTGGTTCCAATGGAAGCAGCAGTCAAGAAATCAGACAAGGTGTTGCACTGGGCAAATCTGGTGCCAAAGACCTTTTCAGAGTGCTGAAAGCAAAGATGTCTCTTTGAAGACTTAAGTGCACTAACCAAACTTACTGCCCTCGAGTTGGTCCCGATTCATAGCAACCCCTCCTTGGGTTTCCAAGGCAGTATCTCTACGGAAGTAGATTGCCCAACCATTTCAGAGCTCCCTAAGTGCACTAGGCATGTTATTTTAAATCGCCTCATATGCATGTGATAGCAGGACAGTGAATAAAGAAGAGGGAAAAAAATTGAGGCTTTTTGAGTTGTGGTGTTGGTGAAGAATACTGAAGTACCATAGACCATCAGAAGAAGGAACAAATCTGTCCTGGAGAAAGTGTAGCAGGAATGCTCCTTGGAAGCAAGAATGGCCAGACTTCGTCTCACTGACTTTGGTCATGTTGTTAGAAGAGAACATTCCCTGGAGAAGGATGTCATGCCTGGTAAAGTGGAGGGTCAGCAGAAAAGGGGAAGGCCCTCAATGAGATGGATTGACACAGTGGCTGCAACAATGGGCTCGGGTATAGCAGGGATTGTGAGGCTGGCACAGGACCGGGCAGTGTTTCGTTCTGTTGCACATGGAATCGCTATGAGTCGCAGCCGACTCAACAGCACCTCACAACAACAACATAACAATGTCCGTACAACTAGAACTAAGGGGGCAAAGTTATAATAACTTCAGTCAACCACCCTGATGGAGCAAGTTGTTGGACCTATGGGCTCAGACCCATGGTTGCAGGGGACATCAAGCTCAATTGGCATAATATACTACACAAAACATTGTTCCACCTCCTACTTTGGCGAGTAGCGACTGGGATCTTAAAAGCTTGCAAGCAGCCATCTAGATGCAATGATGGGTCTCTCCTCGTCCAAAGTAAAGAAGAATGAAAAAAACCAAAGATTCATGGAAAGAACTAGTCCTAGCGACTGGTACACCATGAGATCTGCAGCCTATATGACTATGAGACCAGAAAAACTAGATGGTGCCCAGCTACCACTGTCAACCACTCAGAGGGGGATCTATGTAGGAGATCCTGGATAGAGAAGGAGAACAATGTGGAACAAAACGCAAAATCATTTGGTGGGGGGAAGAAAGGGGGACCAGGTTTGCTGGTCTGATAGAGCCAGGTGGAACCACTGAGACTATGGCCCCTAGCTGCCCTTCAGGTCTGGAATTGAACCCATACCTGTGGCTTCCAGCCAAACAAAAGAGAGGCATAGGAGTTGAACATTTACCTGAGGTAGATACACTCCTTGGAGAGAACAATCATGGGAGAAAGAAGGGCTGCTTATGCACAGGGAGACTGCTCAGGGGGCAGGGGTGCATGGAGGGATGGACACAGGGAAGAGGTGACTGTCAAGAGGAAGTGGGGGAGGCTGTTGCATTGTGGTGAATTGCGGTCAATGTCATGAGACAAAGTGTATGTGAACTGCTCTATGGAAAGTAAATTTGCTCTGTAAATTTCCACCCAAATCACAATTTTAGAAATAAATAAATAAATAAGCTTGCAAGTGGCCATTTAGAGGCAACAATGGGTCTCTCCTTGTTCGGAGCAAAGAAGAATGAAGAAAACCAATGATGCACGGAAACAATTAGTCCAAGAGACTTATGGACCATGTGATCCTGAGCCTGTATGACCATGAGACCAAAACTAGATGGTGCCCAGCTACCACTGTCAACCAATCAGAAAGGGATCAGTACAGGAGATCCTGGATAAAGTGGGAGAACAGTGAGGAACAAACTCAAAATCATAAAAATGACCAGGCTTACTGGTCTGATAGAGCCTCGTGAGACCCCTGAGACTATGGCCCCTAGTTACCCTCCAGGTCAGGAAATGAACTCACTCCCAGGGCTTTCAGCCAAACAATAGACAGGCATATAGGATGATCATTTACATCAAGTAGATACACTCCTTAGAAAGGTCAATCATGGGAGAACAGAAGGGCAGCGTTTGCACAGGGAGGTAGCTCGGGGAGCAGGAATGCACAGGAAAAGAAGAACAAAGGGAAGAGGTAACTACAGGGAGAATGTTGAAAGAGAGTTGTTACACTGTGGGGAAGTGAAGTCAACCTCATGAAACAAGACGCATATGAACAGCTCAATGGAAAATGATTTTGCTCTGTAAACTTTCATCCAAGTCACAATACAAATTAAGAAAAAACAAAGAGAGAGAGAAGACATAGAGAAACATAGGCAGGGAATGAGACCAGGTCAAGAGGGAGGCTGAGGCTGGAGTGATGTGTCCACAAGCCAAGGAAGGCTGGGACCACAGGAAACTAGAAAAGACAAGGACGGACCCACCCCTAGAGGCTGGATTTCAGACTTCCAGCCTCCAAAACCGAGAGAATATGCTTGTGCTGGTTTCAGCCCCCAGCACGCTTTGCTGTGGTAGCCATAGGAGACACAGACCCCAAGTCCTTCCACAGCCCACTCCACCACACTTGATAGATGGGTAAACTAAGGCCCAAGTAGGAAGGCAAGTGCCAGAAGCAGGTGGGTTAGTGGTGAAAGGTGGCACCTGCAGGAATATCTGAGTCCCAGGCCAGTGTTTGGGGCCTGGGCACACCAGTGCTGGGGACAGGAAAGGGCTGGGCAGGTGGCAGGGCCCCCCCCCCGCTTGGGGCGGTACCTGGATGAAGCGCTTAAGCTGTGTGTTCTGCTGCAGAAGCCTGGTCTTCTCCTGCTCCAACGAGAAGATGTACTCAGCCGTCTGCTGAAGAATGGCCGCCTGGGGGCAGGAGGGGCCTTGAGTCAGGGACTGGGCTGGTGGCTTGTGAGCCGCCTCCTCCAGGAAGCCCTCCCGACCTTCCCTGGCTTGCCCACCTTGCTGAGCTTCTCGCCGTCTGTGTGGGGAATGAGGGTCTTGAGGGACTGAAAGCCGGCGTTGATGCTCTGCATTCGCCGCCGCTCGTTGCTGTTGGCGATCTCCCGCCGGATCCGCCGCTCCTGGTCCCGCTGGGTCTCAGGGGTCAGTGGAATGTTGGCCAGGCTGCAGGAGGGCAGGGCTACACTGAGGCCAGGTGAACTCTGGGCCCTGCCCCTAAAAGGCCCTTGTCTTTTTAATTCACCCCCAGAGGCACCAAGTGTCACCTGCATCCCTTCCACTGCAGAAGACACCAGGTCAGCCTGCCTCCACCCCCTGGGGACCAGCAGGGTAGCAGAGATGCAGCTGTGAAAGGCTGATCCCTGCTGGCTTCCCGGGGAGAGGGCCATCCTCCACAATAGGTGTCAAAGCCCCCAGGAGCTTCTCAACCAAAGAGCCTGGGTCCCGGTCCTCGAATCCGGCCAGCACCTGGAAACCTTCATCGTTAATGAGCAGCTCTGATTCTGAAGCAGGTGGGTCCCAGATGACAACCGAGATGCCTGGGCCCCAGCTACCATTACTGAACATTCTGATCAAAGAACTTACAGAAGAATCTTGATCCAAACCAGGGGGAAATGAAGAACAGGATTTTAAATTCTCATGGAATCCAGACTTTCTGGAGCCATGGAGGGTGGATGAACCCATGAAACTACTGACCTGAGATGATCTTTAAACCCTGAACCAAAAATATGCCCTGAAGTCGTCTTAAAACCAAACAATAGTTTAATTAGTGTTTAATTAGTCTGCCTTGAGCACTGTGGTATTTTTAAGAAGGATATGGGCTCAAAATGACAACAGCAACTCAGTAAATAGGAAGCTGAGGGGGCAGGGAGAACATCACTGAACTATATGCACGGCATTGTTGGATTGCTGTATGTTGTGCTATGTATATTCTCAACAAAAAAAAATTTTAAAGACACCTGGACCACCTCCCTTCCCAACCCTGTGTCCAAGTCTCTAGTCACAAGCCCCCACCCACACTGGCCCCAGCCATCCTGTGCAAAGACTCCAAAGAAAACAAGAAGCACTCACGCCACCAAGGGACACCAGGTCCATAGCCCCTGGGGACATTCTTCCCACCCCCGAGCCCACCCAGCCCAAGAGGGAGACCCACCCTGTGCCTGAGAAGCAGGGCTCCCAGCTCGCTGTGGCCGATTAAAGACCACAGGAGCCGCGGCCAGTGGGGTGAGAGAGAAGGCAGCCAGGGGCAGGGGTGAGGCTGCCGGGCAGCCGATTAGAGTCTGCGGGCCCAACACCACTGCTCCCAAAGGGTGGGCCTGTGTGTGGCCTGGAAAAGGCATGCCCCCCTTCCCGGTCCTCCTGCACCCCGCCCCCTCCTGGGCCTGATGGTTTCCAGATGCTGGGCTCCCAGCAGAGACGGCCAGCCCCACCCAAAGCCACAGCCCCGGCGTCTTCCTGAGGGGCCCTCCCAGGGTGACCGGCTTCAGGACTCGGCCAAGGGAGCCCAGGGCCCTAGGGGAACAGGAAGAAAGGGTCTGGGAAGCCCTGATTCCCCTGAGGGAGTCCGAGCCAAGGAGGTGCCTGGTCTCCCTCCCTGGCCATACCCAGGCCTCTGTGCCCGTCCTCCAGCAGAAAGGCATCAGCACTGAACCCAGGAGGGGTACCCATCTGCAACAGCTGGACACAGCCAGGGCTTTCCTGCCCCGTCTGTCCCACCTCCCTGGGGGATCCTGGACTCATCCCTGTCTCTCCCTGGCCCATGGCCTCTGCCAACAAGCAAAAGTGTGGCTGGCAGGGTAGGTGCCACATCAGACAAAGCCCCACACCAATATTGAGGTACAGAAACAAGTCAACTTCCTCTCTGCATCCAGAACCCAAAACCTGGGGCCCCAACCCACCCCAGGGCCTCTGTGCCTAGGGCACTGGGCCAGCACAAGGTTGTGGGATGTCAGAGCCAGAAAAGAGCCCCACTGGCCTCCTTTTAGAGTAGTGGGAAGAGACATGGTTTTAGGGTCAGGCAGCTGGCATGTGACTCCCCACCTTCTGGGCCAGAAAGGAGTGGGTGGGTCAAAGCTGGGGGGTCTTTGGTGTCAAAAGGAGGTGAGAGCGATGTCCACAAGAAGCCAAGGCCCCAGTGGAGGGGCACTGAGACCTGTATCTGGGAACATCCCCTGCCCCTGAGCTTACCCAGCCCCTGGGCTCCTTCTGGTATCCAGATGCCACAGCTGAACCCCCCCCCCAAAAAAAAAAAAACTCACTGCCGTCGAGTGGGTTCTGACTCATAGCAACCCCTCCTTGCGTTTCTGAGTTGGTATCTCTACAGAAGTAGATTGCCCAGTCTTACTTCCCAGGAGTGGCTGGTGGGTTTGAACTGCCAGTCTTCTGGTTAGCAGTCAAGTGCCTGAGGCACTACACCATCACAGCTGAACAGAGGGGGGTCAAAAGGGAGCTTCACCACATCCACCCTTGGGCTGCCAAGTGCTGAACTTCCCAGAGGGCCCACCTAGAGGACTCAGTAACAGGATAATAGTGGGGGGAAAAAAAATCCTTGTATCTTACACACGCCAGGGACGTACTTTGCTAAAATTTTCTCAGCAATTTGTCAGTCTTCTTAAGTCACACTCCCTTATGATTCCTAAGTAAGGATGCAAATACAGAGGCTAGGGAAGGGAACACTTCTACCAAGGGTGGAGCTGGAACTTGAACACTGGCCCCAGAGCCTTGCTCTGACCCAGATGGGTCTCAGGCCACAGGAACAGAGTGGGTTCTGTACCGTGCCACAAAGTTGGACACCCCAACAGACAAGTAACCTATTTTTCCCCAGGTGGGGAAGTGTCAGGGTAAGGAGGTGCCTGGTCCAACTTCTTGACTGTCCCCAGACAAAAATGTGTTTGCACTGAACCCAGAAGACAGCCATATGTGCAACAGCTGGACATAAGTAACACCTTCTCAGACAAGGCTGGGCATGGGCCAGGTGCTGGATTCAAATTAGCTCTCACCGTTATCAACCAAATGCTTTTGTCTTTTTTTCTCTTGTTTACAACCCCTTACAGATATGAGTCCGTCAGACTGGAGGGCACATAACAACAACAACAGATAAGGAACCCAGGGTCCCAGGGGAGAAATGACATGCCCAAGGCTAGAGAGCTAGCTGCTCCTCCCCTACCCCACCAGCTAACAGCACCTTCCCTTGTGAGCCTACTCCCACAGTGTTAGCTGCTGTCAAGTCAGTCCCTGACTGATGATGACCCCATACACAAAGGAACGCTGCCCACTACCTATGACTGGTTGTGGGTGGGACCCCTGTCACCCGTGGGGCTTCCACTGAATGATAATAGAAGCAAAACCACCAGCCCTTTGTTCCAAGTCCCTCTTGGTCTGAAAGTTCCGCTGAAACCTGTTCAGCATGACAGCAAAACCTAAGCCTCTGCCCACCGACAGATGTTGTCTGCACATGAAGGTCACTGGCTGGGAATCAATCTCGGATCTTCTGCATCAAAGGTAAGAATTCTCCCACTGAACCACCATGACCCCCTGTTGTCGTTGTTATATGCCGTGAAGTCGGACCCAACTCATAGTGACCCCTCCTAGGGTTTCTGAGGTGGCATCACTATGGAAGTAGATTGCCCAACCTTCCTTCCGAGGAGTGGCTGGTGGGTTTGAACCGCCAGCCTTCTGGTTAGCAGTCAAGTACCTTAAGTACTACGCCACCAGAGCTCCTCACGACCCGCTAGTCAACTCTTAAAACCCAAACCATACCCGCTGTCGTGGAGTTGATTCTGACTCATAGCAACCCTATGGATCAGAACAGAACTGGCCCATAGGGTTTCTAGGACTGTCATCTTTACAGAGGAAAACTGCCACATCTTTCTCGCATGGAATGGGCTGGTGAGTTCCAATCGCTGACCTTTTGGTTAGCAACCGAGTGCTTAACCACTGAGCCACCAGAGCTCCTTAGTCAACTCTTACCTGAGAACAAAGGTGGACAGTGAGGCCCGGAGACGTGAAGGGAATTTGCCCTGGGTTCAGCTGCAATGCCCAGCCACAACAGCCTTCCAGCCTGAGCCCCACCCACACCTGACCCAAATCAGAGCTCAGGGTGACCACCCTGCCCAAGCCGGCTGCCCCGCCATGAAACTTCAGCCCTGGAGCTGACCCTCAGACGCCCTTCTCCCCGCCCAGGAGGCCCGCTGACGGGAGACCAAAGGGACGCTGGACCCCAGCTCTGGGAGCCTCAGCTCCAAAGTTCCTGGAAGGAAAGGTCCTGGGTCCGGACAGGAAGCAGGGCTTCTGCTGGCTCCTCCTCCACGTTGGAGCCCCAACTTCACTTCCCCAATGTTCCATCCTTTCCCCTCCCCTCCAAACCCATCAGCCCAGCCTCCTGGCTCCTCCAAAGAACGGGCTGCTGTTAACCTTGTATCGATCCAAGAAAACAAGCTGCATCCCAAAATTACAGTTTCTCATGGGAACTTGGGGTCACCATCAAGACGCTTAATTATAATTCTCCTAAATACCCCTGGAAGCCCCAGCTGAGTTAAATAGACTGCTCTGATTGGTGAAATGCAGACTAAACAGGGCTCTCTCTGGTTGATGAAGTGCTCACTAACCAGAGGCTCCGATTGGTGGAGTACAGGCTAAACATGGATTCTGATTGGTAGAATGCTGTCTAATCGAGAATTCTTATTGGTGGAATGCTGACCAACCAAGTGTCCTATTGATGAATGTTGGCTAATTGGAACTTCAAGGTGATACTGCTCTTATAAAGTTTATTTCCCAGCAAACAGCCTGGAAGTAGCTATTGTGGTTTTGCACTTAGCCACCGCAATGTAAGAGCCCAAGGGCCCCTCCACAGTTCAGCTACATCAGATTCTCCCAGGTGAGCAGTGAAGGTGGCTGGTGCCCCCTTCCTCACTGCTAACAGTCAAGACTCCTGGAGGCTGCTCGGGGGCTACCCCTGATATAAGACAGGGCACTGGGCAGCCAGAACCAAAGGAACAAAGTCTGGATGCTTGACTCCCATGTCAAGACCAGAGCTGCCACCCCATCACCAGAATTACCACCCACCGCTGGACAGCCCTCTGGGGACAGCTGGTATTCCAAGCAGAGGCAATGCGCCCCCTGACTGGTAGCCCTCCCTCCTGCCCAGCCGTAAGCCAAGTGTGGCAGTTAAGTTTGTGTGTCAACTTGGCTAGGCCTGTTGCATGGCTGGGCAGCTGGATGGAGTATTCCCCATGATGAGACTGGTGGTACTCAACTCCATGGTGGCATCTGCTGCCTTAGGGATGTGGTCTGCTTCCTGTATATACGCAGAACCCTTGGGGAATGGTCTCTAACCTATGGCACGCTTGGACCCTGCATGTAGCCGTATTGTTGTTCAGCAGCCTGCCATGCTCTGCCGACCCTGGGACTTACCATGGACTTGAATTAATGCCCTGCAGTGTGGTGTGGTAACATGGGGACTGTGCCATTTTATTTGTCAACCTTGAGCTTGTTAGCCTCAGCAGCCAGTAGCTGCCTGAGTGAAGAGATGCCTCTAGCTTCAGTGGGCCGGGAGCAAGAGGCAGAGGTGAAGCCCAAGGTCAAGGGGCTTTCACACAGCTAACAGTCACTTTGAACTTGGACTTAAAGCCTCCAAACTGTGAGAGAATAAACTCCTATTTGTTCAAGCCGTCCAATTTGTGGTACATTCCTGTCAGAGCAGCGGCAGGTAACCAGAACACCAAGTATCCCCCATCCCTCACACATAGCCCCTGCCCGGCTCCCACCTTCCTCATTTCACACTGCTGGAGGCCAGCACTTCCCCCAGGGACTTTCACATCCACAGTTACGGTGGGACAGTGGGTGCACTCAGAATATCTCCCATACCCAACAAAGAGGACCCTACCACCAAGGGTACCAATGCTCTCTTCTCTCTCTGCGACACAGCAACTGCCAAGACCCTCCAGACATTCCACTCCAGCCGTGGGCAACCTGCTGCCTCTCCCCTTGCCCCTGCCCCCAACACACCTCACCCAAGCTGTTCTGTCAGAAACACCCTCTCCCCTCCCTGCAACTTCTCCAGCCCATCAGAGGGGACCCTGCACGAGGTTCACGTTCAAACTCCAGCCCTGCCATTTACCACCTGCGGAACTCCAAGTCTAAACACTTAGTCTCCCAAAGCCTCAGTTTCCCCACCTGTACATGGTAAACATGGCCTCACTTCACGAGGTCGTGGGGAAGTTTAAAAACAAAGCAGGTAAGAGGATGGCCTGTTCTTCCAGGGTTTGTACTCAGGTCTCCAGGAGACCCCAAGGTTTCCCTCAGGGGGCTGACACCACTTCTTAGCACCTTGAGACTGCGAGGTACTGAGGGCAAGGGGCAAGGTCTGGTGTGCAACTGTATTCACAAAAAAAAAAAAAAAGGTGACAACACACTCCAAAGTCCTTAACTGCTCTCTAAGGCAAGTCCATGGAGGCACGAATGGTTAGCACGCTCGACTGCTATAACCGGGGGCTGGGGGGTAGGGGCCACCCAGAGGCAACTCTGGAAAAAGACCTGGCAGTCTGCTTCTGAAGACTCAGCCACTGAGATCCTGTGCGGCACAGACCTCCTCCAACACACGTCAGATCACCACGGGTTGGAATCGGCTCAAAACAAGAGACAAAGCCGTAGGGGTACTTGGTCTCCTTTCCCCTCAGAGGGCAGCAGTTACAAGGATAGAGGTCACTGCGCTCTGCTTGTAGGAAGCTTGTAGGCATTATAAGGGCTACCTGCGCTCTCCATACCTGAACGATAGCTGTGGGCCAGGCACCGTGCAAACCATTCTGCAGACATCCCGGCATTTAAGCCCCACACAACTGCACTATGCCCGCTAACCTATATGATCCCGCATCTTGCACAGCGAGAGCTCACTTGTTCCAAGTTCAGCAGGATCCAAGCAGGCACCTGAGGGCTGCACCATGACTCGCAGAGCCCTGGCTCCATGCACAGGAATACCACCACCATCCCACGCTAGTAGCTCAACTTCACAGGGACTCAGTTTTATAGAGGCCAAGAACAGTTCGGTGATTGGTCCAGACCACATAGCTTCTGGTCCAGCCTCCTCTGGTCGGTGAGCCACGAGGAGGGGAAGTCGAGAGAATTATGCTGGTCAACTGCTCCGCTTCCCAGCCTCTGTGTCCCATCCTTACATAGGAATCATTAAGGCAACTTAACTCATAGCAAGACTGTGGCAAACCACTGAGGAAATTCCAGCAAAGCAACAATAACAACAACAAGCCCCTAGGACATATAAGAGCTCAAGGATTTTTTTTTTTTTTTTTCAATTATTATCCTGTTGCTATGCCTTCCAAGTAGGTTTTCTGGAAGGTTCAGCACTCACCGGCCGCCTGACCGCTAAACTGGCCCATCGACCCAGAGGCACTGACTCTGAACTAGAAGGTAGGAGCCATGGTGGTTGGAGGTGGATACGTGTGCAAGCAACCCCACCTGGTTCCTGCAGCCCCAGGGGTCTACCCAGCAGGGCTACGGAGTGCAGGACTCCTCCCCCCTCAATCCCCGCCCCTCCTGCCCCGGGCGGTGTAGCACGTGGCCCCAGCCCTAGGGAGCCATTTCGTTCCTGGAGCAGCGCGGCAGGAAAGGGACCACAAGTCCCAACTTCTGCACGCTGGAGACTCCCCTCCACACTCGGGTCGCGCTAAAAATCTCAGTGCTCGAGCTCTTCTCGAGATTCGAGTTCCGAGTATCTGCATTTTAAAAAAAGTCCCGGGTGACTCGACTGTGCGTGGCCCAAGAGTCCACCACGGTTTAGGAGCCAGCCAGGGTCGCTGCGGGCTCTGTCCACCCACCAGGCTTGGAGACCCGATGCCATCGGCTTATGTCTGGGGCAAGGGGCGTGCGATGGGAAAGTTTGCAGCGGAGACCCACGTGCGGCGGGAGGCGCACGATGCGGCCTGAGTAGCTGGGGGACGCCTTCAGCCGTCCACCTCTGCAAAAAGCCTCCCCTCCCGAGCTGAGCTTTGTGCACGGAAAGCGTGGCCCGGGCGCGCCTACAACTCCCACAATCCCGCACCCGCTGGGTCCAGAGAACTACAGCTCCCGCGAGGACCCGCGCGCGGAGGCCCGCCTACTCCAAGAGGGCTGCAGAGTCACGTCCAGGCCTCGCTAGTAAACAGCGCCAGGACGCGGGCAGGCGAGCGAGCGGCCGCCAACGCGCCCAGGGCCACGGCGCCCGCAGGCCGGCCTGCTGTGACCCCTGGGTCACGCCCACCCCCGCACTCCCCACGCGAGCACGCCCCCGACCCCGCTGCAGCCCGGCTCTTTGCAACCACGCACCCTTCTCGGCTCCCCGCCCCCCACCCGCGTCCTAGAGCCGTGGCATGGCTGCATTGTAGCCGTCCGTGCCGCCGCTCTACACGCGCCCCGGCTCCCCTAGAACCTCCTTGGGGGGGTGCCCAGAGAGCGCGAGGAAGGAGCGAGAGGAAGGAAGCCGCCGCGGGAGGGGGGAGGAGGAAGAGCGGGGGGGAAAGCCACCAGCACCCAGCATGGCCGGGACTGCTGCAGAACCACGTGGGTCTGTTTGCAATTTACAAACGCCGCGACTCGCCCGCCTGCAGCGGACAAAAGTAGCCGGGGCCGCTTGGGGCCCCCACGATCCGAGAGAGCAAGGTCCCCGGGCAGCGCGAGCCCGGCGATCGGGGCTGCAGCAGCCCCCGCGGCTAAGAAAGGCGAGCGGGGCCGGCGGCGCGGGCCATGCGTGCGCACACGCGCGCCGGCCCGGGCGGGCTGGCCAGGGGCTGCAATCGTAGAAAGGGGGTGGGGGGAGCAGTACACACCTACAGAGCCCTCCTATCACTTCTTTCTCTGTTTTCCTGAAATGTTGCAAAGAGGGCACCTTCTGAGTGGGCACCATGAAATACTCCATAGCGATCTGCCCCCCTCCTCTGCAGAAGCCAGGTCCCGCGGTTCGCCGGAGAATGCAAGATGGAAATCCGAATCAAAGGGCAGCGCCGGACGGAGGTGCAGGCTCGGCCGGTCCCAGATGCTGGCGGCGGCGGCGGCGGCGGCGGCGGCGGCGCGGGGAGGGAGGCGGACGGGAGGGGCGGGAGGGAGGGCTCTCCGGCCTGCCTCCCCGGGCGTGTGTGTATGTGCGTGTGTTTGCAGCTGATCAGATGTCTGTTTCAAGGCGGGAAACAGCTGGTGAACACTCAGCACTCCCCCGGCCTCCTTCCGCGGAGTAAGGAATTGCATGTAAACAAAGGACTATTTGCAGCGCCCCCCGGGCGGCGCGGGGCTGGGGCGAGAGGGGAGCGGGCCCCTGGGGGCCGGCTGCGGCCGGGGTCTGTCCGCTTCCCCCGGGCGCTGGGGGCTGGGGGCCGCAGGCGGGCTGGGGGGGCTCGGCGTGAATGGAGCGAGCTGCGGCCGGGCTACATGCGCCACTATGGGTGATGAGGTCCATCAGCTGACAGGTTGGCAAGCGTTGCGAAAAAAAAAAAAAAAAAAAAGGCCAGCCACCGCGAGGGAGCCCAGCCCGCTGCGGCCTGGGGTCCGCCGGGGACCTGCCTGGTGCAGGCTCCGCGCGCACGGCGGCCCCGGGGGGCCGCGGTCCGGGCGCGCAGCGGGTCCGCTGTGCAGGGGCGGCGGGGAAGGCGGTGTTGGGTGCGTGCATGGAGCGTTTTTTAATTCCACGATTGCAAATGCACGGAGCACAGCCGCTCTGGCTCGCTCCCTCAGAGCCCAGGGCCCCCTGGAATCTTGCGTCACAGCAACCGCTTCCCACATGTACCTCGGGGCTGCTGCCCCACCGGCCTTCTCCCCCCACGCCTGCCCAGCTGCCCGCCCAGCGCGGACCCTGGGAATCCCGGAACTGGAAATTGGAGGGAAAGGGGGGCGCGCCGGGCGCCTCGGATACTGGGGCTGCTCTAGGACACGGGGCCCGGGCGGGGAGGGGAGGGTGGAGGCGGGCCAGAACGGCAGCGGCCCGGGGGCAGGCTGCCAGCGCGGCCGGGAGGTCTGGTGGCTGCTGCCGGGTCTCCTCCTACCGCCGCGAGGCCGCACGGCAGGAGGCCCGCCCCTGCTGGCCCGGGCAGACGGAAGGCAGCAGCCTCCCATTCACTGCAAAGCCGTCGGCGGACATGCTCCTCCGCCAGGGTGCGCTCCCTAAGAGAGGTGGCGAGCTTCCGTCCCCCCCTCCCCACCTTCCGGCCCCAGGCACTCGCCAGGCTCCTGCAGGCACAGGAAGCCCACGCCCGCCTTGGAATGTCCTCGCCCCTGCCCCCCGCCTTTCCCAAGGCCATCTGCCTTCAAGGATCCGCCCAGATCGCACCTCCTAATTGAACACTCGTACTAATGACAATGATCACTGTTACTAGTATTTACTGCTGTTGTGAGATGTTTGGAGCACCTTGTAGGTGCCTGCCAGCTCTGCGTCCGTGTTCTCCAAGCCTCAAAACTACCTCTCCTGTGAAGTCCCTCTAACAGCAGTGCCAGACCGCTTAGCATCAATGTCCCTGGCAGGTTTATTTAAAAACGCAGCATCCTTGGGTGGTGCCTGAGACCTACGGAGTCGCAATCTCATGGCCACTGACTCCAGAATCTTGAAAGAACAGGTGGCAACGATGCTCTCCTACGCTGGAACCATCCCATTTTGCAGGTCAGGAGACAGGTCAGTGAGTTTGTTCAGGGTCCCCAGGAAGTAAGTGGCAGATCTGGGATTCACACAGCTTTTGTCACCAGCGGCTCCCTTCCCCTCACCTGACCCATCTGTGATTAAGGCCTTGTTTAGTACATAACTCATGCTTACGCTCCATCGGTCACACATGGTTACGTGTGGCCTTAAAATTTTTCTCACTGGCCCGGTTTTGTCTTCCAGAAAACCAAACCCAAACTCACTGCCATCTAGTCGATTCCAACTCATGCCAACCCTATAGCACAGGCAACCCTGCTGACCCATAGGGTTTCCAAAGATGAAATTTTTATGGAAGCCAGATTACTGCCTCATCTTTCTCCTGCAGAGCAACTAGTGAGTTCCAACTGCCCACCTTTTGGTTACCAGCCGAATGCCTTAACCACTGCACCACCAGGGCTCCTTTCGTCTCCCAGAAAATAGTGAATTCCCTAGATAGGGGCTGTCTGTGGTCACCCCTTCTCTCTTCATGGGTCAGCACAGGGCTGGACACACAATGAAGGGAGCTGTCTGAACTAACCTGACATCCCAAGGCCTTGGGCCTCTCCCTGCCCAGGCAACAGTGTTCGTGGAGACAGCCTCTGGAGGGAGAGAGGGAGACAAAGACTCACACAGGGCATTGCCTGGTTCCCGGCACCAGACCAAGCAAGACCTGAGACCCCTGGGGCCACTTGCCCTTCTGCTGAAGCCCCCCCTGAAGAAGTGGGGTTTGGATCCTGGCTAGGGGATGGAGGAGAGTGGCACCTCTGCTTTTCTTGGAAGTCATTCCGAGGCCCAGGGCTGGGACCAGGCTGAGACAAATGGTGTGAAGTCACAAACTTTCAGGGAGTGCAAAAAAAAAAAAAAAAAAACCTCACCAATCAAGATTAGTACTTTTTTTTTTTTTTAGTTGAAGTGACATGCACACACCATAAAATGAGCCATTCACTGGCATTTACTGCACTCAACAGCCTCGTGCACCCATCTCCTCTGCCTAGTGCATCACCCTGAAAGGGAGCCCTGGCCTACTCAGCAGTCCCTCCCCGGGTGCCCCCAGCCTCCAGCCCCTGGCAACCACTCATCTATCTTCTGTTTCTGATTGGACCATTCTGGGCACCGTGCAGTATCTGCCCTTTCGCGTCCACTTCTTTCACGAAGCATGTTTTCAAGGTTTGTAGCGTTGTAGCCTGTGTCGCTGCTCCGTTCCTTTTTATTAATGAACATACTGCGTTGTACAGCTATCCCACACCTTGCTGATCTACTCACCTGCTAAGGAGCCCTGGTGGCACAAAGGTTCAGAGCACTTGGCTGCTAACTGGAAGGTAGATAGTTGGAACTCACCAGCTTCTCCACGGAAGAAGATGTGACAGTCTACTTCTGTAAAGGTTACAGCCCTAGAAGCCTTATGGGGCAGTTCTACTCTGTCCTATAGTGTCGCTATAGGATGACCACGGGAATCATCCGTTGATAAGACATTTAGGCTAGTTCTACCTTTTGGCTATTGTATAGAAATATCTTAATGTGTTACTTTTCCCAAATCAAAATGAATGCAAAAAGGCCACGACAAACAAAATACGCACATTTTAAATAAAGACAAGATTGCGAGTACTGACTTCTCCCAGTCTGTGATTTGGGTCCTGTCTACTTGACTGCTAACCAGAAGGCTGGCGGTTCAAACCCGCCAGCCACTCCTCGGAAGGAAGGTTGGGCAATCCTACTTCTGTAGTGATACTGCCTTGGAAACCCAAGGAGGGGTCACTATGAGTCGGGGCCGACTCAACGGCAAATAACAACAACTAAAGACACTCTCACTCAGACCGGTTTCACTGTTTCTGCCAAAGGGAACTTCTCATATTGCTGCTCCCAGCCCAGCGCCCTGGGACAGCTCAGATGTACAAGTCAAAACACCCCTGGGCTCCCTCAGCCTGCCCGCTGCTGGCCCCAGGCCTGAAATACCATCACTGCCCCCACCCCAACACCACCTTTCACATCACATGATCCTTCTGTGCAGCAGTCAACACACCGAGTCCCCAAACTGCAGGGCTTCCTGCATTCCCATGAGGCTCTGTACATCCCTGAGCCTGGCCTCTTCCCCGACGTCTTCCCAACTCCTGAAATCCTCCTACCATGCACTAGCTCGGAGCCCTCCGTGGGCTCAGCAAGGTCTCTCAGACCCTTAATCTCGATATGTCCTTCACCTCCTTGCTCTAAATCAGTCGGCCACTTTTTCTGTAAAAGCTCAGAAAGTAAATACTTGAGGCTTTATAGGCCAAGTGGTCTCTGTCAGCTGCTCAATTCTGCAGCTCAACGAAAAGAAAATGAATGGGCATTTCTGTGTTCCAATAAAACTTTATAAACACACTGGATTTCATGTAATGTCCATGTGTCACTACGGTGTAGTAAATTACCTGGTATGACTTTTCTAGCCGTAAGTCTTTGTAAACTCTGTAGTGGAATTTGCCCTGAGCAACTGAGTAGCTCCTGATCATTAAAGTTATCCACCTGGGGTATTTCTGTTGAGAGTGGTACAAAGCAATGTTCTGGGAAGTTCACTCTCTCTCAGGTGTTTAGAATTCTGCTGCTATGATTGGCCAGTTTGGCCACTCTGCCAGGCTTAAAAGGAGTCCTCCTAGAGGCAGAAGGAGTCTCTCTGACTGGTGGCTGAGAAAGATTGCTCCTGAGTTCTCTCCTGAGAGACGCGTGCTGCTGAGAAAGAGACACAAAAGACACGCACTGCTGAGAGAGACACCGAGAGACACGCACTGCTGGGAGAGAGGCTGTGAGAGACTGTTGGCTAGAGACAGCAGGCTGAGACACTGCGCATTGTTCCTGAACTTGAGTTGTAGCCTGCTGCTTCCCTAACAAACCCCATAATCTGTGAGTTCTGTATGGCCACTGCAGCGAATTATCCAACCCAGCAGAGAGGTGGTGGGTGCTGCGAGAAGAACGGTTGGTGTCAAGGTTGGTGAAAGGGCTGGAGGGAGGTAGCATGTCTGGCCTCACAGCCTTGGGCTACTGATGGTGATTCTGTCTTCCTCTTGTGGGGTTAGAGGAGGTCAGAAGATGCAGCCTCCCTGCCCCTTTGGCAGTAACAAAATAGCATTCTTATCTTTCCAACCATTTTTAAAAGTGTGACAATTACCACATGCTTAGTGGCTTATAACAAAGCACATTTATTGTCTTCCACGTCTGGAGGTCATATATCTCTTACTAGGCTAAAACAGCAGCTGGGGGTGGTGGAGACACCCTTAGCTTGCAAC